CGAAAAACGTTTCAAATAATGATAGAAGCAAACCACTTGGTATAGGTGGTATATACACATAAGCAATCGATTTGACCCGCAGCACCTTATTGCAAGTGGAGTCAAATTCAAAATGGCGGCGTTTTTTAGAATTACTGTTTTTTTTTGCTTTTTTTTCGATTAAATTAATTAAGTTTTTTAATCGATTACATTAATAAGTGTATTTTGAATTGACATACTAATAATAATAGGATTAACCCTTAACTGGTCCGGTAATAGATATGTATCATAAACGGTCCGGCGTAGTCTGTGGGACTACGCCTTCTAAAAAGTTAAAAAACACACAAAAACTAAAAAATAGCAAATTTTTATTTCATTGTATATTATATTATGTATTATTAAACTAATCTAGACAAAAATGGGTTCAATTAATATAAACTTTCAGAAAATATAGTACAAAGTAAAATAGCATACATATAAATTTGAAAAAAAAACAATATAGGTTTTTACTAAGCTCTAAAAATAAAACCAAATTACTAACAGTCATTACAATATAGAAATAAGTTTTTAATACTATTATGTAAAACAATAAGTTATAAAACTGGAGTTAAAGGAGAAGTTTTTAGTTACAGCATGAGGCAAATTTCATTGATTTCCTGAACATGTTTTACACAATGGATTCGTACATTCTAGGCATTAAAAATAATTAACAAGGACATAACATTGTCTTTGACTAGTATAAGAACTCTAGGATAAAAATATATCTCCGTGGGCGTCTTCTGGTTGTACAGGAATTGCAAGTATTCTACCAATTGTAAAGCATATTTCTCGTGGAATATTTAACATTGTCAAACGCATTTGTCTGGCAGATTGTCATATTGTCACTGTCACAGTCCTCATCATATCATTTTAATAGAGTTTCCTCATAACTAGAGTCTCCTAAAGGCACTCTTTTCGAAGACCCGGTCATATTTTACAAAAATTTGTCACTCATAAAATTTTACACAAACGGTCCGGCGTCGTCTGTGAAACTACGGCTTCAGTAACTTCTTCCAGAACTTCTAAAAAACTAATCCAGTTTGGGCACAAATATGGCTATCAGTTGTTGACCTAGAGGGGCAGGATTAGCTAGAACGCCAATCGTGTGGGTAGTCCCAGTAACTACTGAGACTGAGTTAATTATTTGGCGTAGTCTGTCAGACGACGCCGGACCAGTTAAGGGTTAATACTACACTAAGTATATAAAATTCATAATGGCGGAATTTAGTTCTGTGTTAATTAGTAGTTGCGAGCTAATTCTCTATCGCCTACGCGCGAGATATAAGTTTTAGTTCAAATCAAAAATTTATTACAAGTAGCAGCGCATCAAGAAAGTAATTGTGAGAAGACCCTCTTCCGTCCCCCCTTCCCCACCTGCGCCCCCACTCAAAAAAAACCGAAGAAAAAATATTAAACTTCCATATAAAATATAAACCTTTTACATTAAGTATTGTTACGAATTTACTCTATCCGTGGGTCCCAATAATTATATAATAAATAAAGAAGATATAATTAATTATATCTTCTAGGTAACTTTGTAGTTCACAAAACTTATAAACACTTTTCTGCTATTGCTATTGACCAAGCACACGAGCAGAATAATGCCCAAGTGAAAGCAGAAGAAGGTGCAGTTGGACTGACACAAGATCCATCTGCGTTGCGCCGCTGGATGCTGAGTGAACCAGAAGTTACTAGGTTTTTGACTGAATTTAACATCGGGGACAAAATTGAAGCTAGCAACTTAGAACACCACGAACAATACGCTGTGTATCAAAGCAAGTTTGTACAGAAGTGTCAAGCTCTTAAAGAAATTATTGTACAGTTCGGTAATCCTTTTGAAGAACAAGAAACAGCAGTTATTACAATTGATACGAGAGTTATTTGTTAGAGTTATTGACCAGGAATGCGTAAAATCTTTATATAGTGCCGAAAAAAGAGGCTTAAAGATGTACGATACTTTTGTAAAAGAACGAATTTTAGAGAAAACTGTTCCATTGTATGAAAAAATTAAAACATTTTTTTTGTCAATTTTTGTATCTAAAAATTCGGTAAAAAAATCTCAAGTGAAATGTACAATCCAGTTGTTTAAACTGGACTATCAGCTATTTTCAAGATTATTTATTGCTAGCCTTTCCCGTGAACTGGATTTAAATATATTCTTTCAGCATCAAAACCAACAACGCCCATCATCTCTGTCTCAAAATAGAGAATTACGCCGGCGCCTGGGACAAAAAATTGACCTCACCAATATTCCAGAAGGTACATAATTAATTACGCCGTATTAAGTTTAAGTTTCACGCCCATTTTAAAAACCCATTACAACAGTATCACAGTTTCGGCAGATGGCATCATTAAATGAAACTGAACATATCGAAATTAATGCAATCAAATTGTTTAAGTGATATGTTCAAGAGTCAATAACTCGGAAACGGTTGGTTTGAGATACATTGTGTGTATTTCGATTTTTGCTTAGAATTGAAGGAAGAAAATACGCTATAATATACAGGAATTCCATTAAAAAAATAAAACTTTGATGTGCCACGACTTTATGACCGACCCTGTATACATAAATTTATTACTCGCCAATAGACATTTAATAACCCTATAATTTTTGTATTTAATTTTTTGCGGTATATCTTACCTAATAATCGGCCGTTTTCATACATAACAGCAACCCTGTATTTATTTTTTATAAGTTTATTATTTTCTGTCTAAATTACTATAATTCGATTTAGTGGTTTTGTTGCAACGAAAGAAAATTACACAAATCGGCAACTATAACTAGTATAACTACTAGTAAAACCACTCTTTTAAGAGAAATATAACTCGATAGCAAATTAAGCGTATTTTTGTTAAAAATGTTATATGATGTAATTATGTGCCATACCTAATACAAATCATATCACTCGCATCAATTCACACTCAAGAAATATAAAAAAATATCAATAAATTAAATTAAGGCATGAAACCAACCTAAACAATAATCCTCAATAACCGCAAATATTCTATCTCGACATCGAAATGACTGAATAAAACAGCTAAATAACAATACGAACATTAGGTATATCAATAGTTATAAATGGGTATCGATAGATATCGATGCATCGATACTATACTGGTACCATAATATGCTGTTATCATTTTTTAGCATTATTATTAATTTTACAATATACTTGGTAGAATACGTTCTTTGCCTTTTTGCTGTTTTTTAATGCTTTGGAGAACTAAAGGCAATAAATTAGGTTATCAAATTATCACACTACTTATACTGTAATCGCAATTAGTTAATTAATTGCAAGAAAAGTGTTGCAAATTAAAATTGAAAAGTGTCAGAAAACTAAAATACTAAGAGTTATTATAGAATGAAAGATCCAAGGAGAAAACATTATAGCGCCATTTTACTAATTTTACAGGAGAGTTCTGGAGGACGGCTGGTAGTTATCAGGTTTTTCCCTATATGCATATTTTTATTAAGAATATATAAGAGCTTATTGTCCTGCAGAGTTTATACATTTTGAAAGGCCCAGTTCGACCTACTGTTATATTGTAAAATCCTAAACTATAGAATATACCGGGTGCGTCTCAAAAGTGGCTGACTTCTATAACTTTTTTTTTCAGATAAAAATACGGGATTTTAATAAACTATAATATAGAATATAATACTTTTATAATAATAATAGTAAGAAATCAGGTTGTATCTCCCCAGGATCCATGGAGGGAGAGGACTTATCAATGTTGAAAGAGCATGCAACAGACAAAATAACAAACTAGCAACCTATTTTATGCAAAGGGATACCTTCATCGAGCAATATGCGAGATTGACCGAGGCTACTCTTCCTTGAACCTGGCTTCCCATATCCCATCGGAAGTTCCATCGGTTCAGGAACAGCTGAGGGAACTTCGAGGAAAGGCCCTGCATGGAAGGTATGCCAACGAAAGGCAGGCAGAAGAAATTGATAAAAGTGAATCTATACAATTCCTTACAAACATTAACCTCATGGGAGAAACCGAGGGCCTCATACGTGCAATACAAGATCAAGTGGTTAGCCCTAGAGCGTATAGGAGGCATATTTTAAAACAAAACATACCAACTGACAAATGTAGAGTAGGTCATAAGATTAGCGAATCCATCCAACACATCAGCTCTGGATGTGAGAGTCTTGCGTAAGTCCACTACCCGGAAAGACACGACAACTAGATTGACAACTAGACAGAATAGCAAAGATTATTCACCTGGAAATGCTAAAGTACCTAAAAATCAAGAACCCTGAAAAGAAATATTAGAAATATTATGAATACAGGCCATAAGAATTAGAGGAAAACGAACATCATAAAGTATACTGGAATACGCAAATACAGACAGAGAGATCAGTAGTTCATAATAAGCCGGACATTGTTTGGATAGATAAAAACGAAAAGAAAGCCTACTTAATTGACGTAGCTGTACCACTAGATCACAACGTAGTCAAAACTGCAAGGGAAAAGATTTCGAAGTATGAAGACTTGGCTTTCGATATGAGGCAAACCTATCATCTAAAAGCAACCCGAGTAATACCACTCATCATTTCAAGCAATGGTCTGGTTCACATTGATTTTGAGAAGAACTTAAAGGAACTGAAGCTACCAGAAAATATCATAAGTCAATGTATTAAAGCAGCTATTTTGGGTACGGTGAACATAGTCCGCAGAGTAATGAACATGGAGCCTTGAATGGAAATATTCCGGCGACACGTCATGGCACAACAGATAGAATCGTGAAAAAAAATAATAATATAATAATTTTAAATTTTTTTCCCCCTGAACCCTTCAAATATTAGTGACATTCATACTTGTGTCATAGTACATAATTTAAAGCCAATGAAATTAGAAACTAAATAACAAAATACTGAACATTACTTTAAATGAATAGAACACAATAAGTTTCCTTATGCATCAGAAGCAATAATATTACACAATACTTAGCTATTCATATCAAATAATACCTGGCGGTGGTGGAGGAGCCGGCCTGGAAACTGGAGGTGGTGGCATGGATAATCTGTAACCTAAAAGCAAAATAAGGAAATGAATATAAATAGCAATTCGTCATATTGTTATAGCTCCAACAGACACACATACCGGGTGGCCACATAAGAATGGACGCAAGCTGTAGCTCAGAAACTACTCATCGCATAACTTTGGGTCGCATAATCGCATAAGTGGTGGGGAAAGGTTAAACTTGCATTTATTACAATAAGGATAACTCTGGTTTAGCTTAGCCGATTTAAATAAGCTAGGGCTTGTTTAAAAGAGAAAGTCTTCCCTAACGATCTCCAGTATAGATTTAGTTTCCATAGATTTTTTCATGGTAGCTAGAGGGCGCTGTTTGACATAATAGCAGATATTACGCTTTTGCATAAAAAAATTAAATAGCACGTTTCTTTTTGCACTGTTAAATAGAGCAAAAAAATTCCAATATGTTCTCTCTAGCGGAAGATATTAAGAGAACAAACCATATTAGGCTGTAGCCTAGGATTATAATCTGAGAATTGTAATAACAGGCTAGGAAACAAAAAGAGGTAAATTGGTTATAATAATAACACATAGTTATTATTTATTTTGAACGCATCGGAAGGTTCGTTAGTCATGAAGAGTGAGTATGGGGCGTTCCACATACTCAATATTTGTTGATGCGGTTCGTCGATGCAACTCGTCAATACATCGATTTCGTCGAGACAATAAGTTGTGCGGCAGTTCGGTAGAATATCGGTTCTTTAACCACCAAAAGAAATGTCGCGAACATAATGTACGCAAATTTCCAAAGAAATTGCATCGACGAACCACATCATACTCACCATAGACGCACCAAATAGACGAATCAGCCCATAGTGACTATGGAGCCTAAGTTGCCTAAGTTAAAAAAATTAAAAAAAATATTTGAGAACAAGCGTGACGGATTTTCGACCACAGTTTAAATCGAAAATTTTACACGTAGTGTAAAACTACGAGGAATGTATGTGTGCATGTGGTGGTCGCTACGTAAAATTAAATAGGTGACATAACAAAAAAGACCCTTAGAAAGAAAAAAACTATTTTTGTTAAAAAAATCTAGGCCCAGTGGGAAAAGTATCAAAAGCTAACCTGATAATACAGAATTCGATACCCCGACCATATAGCGTCGCGTCGCTCAATTTATTTAAAAATACTTATTCATCTGAATAGAGGGACTATCAAGCCATCGCGCCAAGGATCAATCATCATCATTTAATCGTCTCCAGTATATTTGTCTAGTACAACTTCTAAAGTAGTGCCTTTCGGATTCAGCAATAAAATGTAAGTCCTGTGAACTAGTGAAAATCTGATGACATATACTCTCATATATCACAAGTTCTAGCTTACGTTCGGTGTAGAACATGACACTATAAGATGAATATTACAAAAGAATCATAAATTTCTAAAAATAAAATAATATAGAAATGGTAAAAAATCTACAGAGATACATTTATTCCTCTTTGTGTAATATTTAATAATAACTATACAAAAGAAATTGCAAACCATAATTAAATAAATAAATAACTTAAGGACTATATGCATTGTATGAGACATAAGAACAGAGTTACGACAGATCGTTTAAGAATTCCTTGTAAGGTCTTTCACTAAAGGAGTCTTCCTATATTATCTGCACCTGGACGGTTTTGTACAAATCGGTCAATTGCTTCATGAAGCGGTGATATCTATTAGTTTTTTGTTAGAAGAAGCTGATCCAGCATTGTTTTACTAGGGTTAGCCATAAACGAAAACCTCTAGTCTCAGTTACCTTGACATATTCAATAAAATAATGCTATATTTTTTATTTACGTGCAGCATTTTTCTAATCTTTCAGGTCGGTTTCTGAAATGCATGGTGCAGTTATCAAATACAGTCAATAAGCTAAAAGCAATCATTAGGAAGCATGCAAATTTACTGAGCAATTGTAAAATTTTCGTGACAGTTTTTTGAACGTTATCTTAATGTGTACAGAGTGAGTCAAATTAGAAGCTTTTAAAGGGAAACACCCTTTTCTATAGACGAAAACTTATATTGGTGTCTGGAGCTCAATTTTTGTTAAAAACATGTTGATGAAACCCGCACATCGATATCTGTTACCGCTTCGGAGTTACGGGGTGTTTTTCAAAAATGTGCATTTTTAACAAATCTTTTTTACGTAGAATTTAATAGTTTAAATATAATTTTTTTAAAATGAATAATTTAAGAATTATCAACAGAAAATTTAATTTTTTATATAGGACACCCTGTATATTTTTAATTCGTTGAAAAGAATTTAAAATTACCTTTCCAAAAATATAGAATACTTGATATTTTGCTCGATTCCTCTTAGAAATATAGTATTTAAAAATTCGCCCACATTGAATATGGCTTTGAATCGCCGGCTGTAATGCAAAAAAATTCTAGCTGTGAGCAGCAACTAAAACGAAAATAATATTTGCAATGAGAGATGCAGTATTTTATAACAATGTAAACTATATTTAACAACATCAACACATTTAAATTATATCTAATAATAGTAAAAATAAACAGTAAACCAAGACATGAGATTTGCAACAAGTGTTCGACATGTCGATCGTCTTCTGTTGTGGACAGACGGGACCGTTTTTGAAAATTTCTCGCGGAATTCATTAACTCAGTGGGGGTGAAAGATACCTTCTCATAACCGCTAAGTACTTCTAATTTTTGTCTAGATATGGGCTATTTAAAAATAAGAACCTTTATTCATCCGCAAAGATAAAAATCCATATGCGCTAAGTCCAGCGGATTCCTTCTGGTAAAAATCCATCATAAACCAGGTCCATTATAAATGTTAAAAGTCCATCTTATTTCGGCGGACTCGACGGCCAGCGGATGGGATTTTGGTTAGCTATTCAATTATTCTCAAAATTGGCTGCAAAAATTTGCTGATAACTTCAGCGTTCTGAAGCGGTGCCTAGTCTTGCTGGAAAAATATGTTTTCGAGTTCCATTAGGGGGGGACCATCAATAAGAGGTCCAAAGCCTACCAGTTAAAACTTTTAAAAATTTTGTATTTCGAAAGGGACTAATAAGAAAACATCGAGTGTTAAGTTCTTTTCAGTTAAATTAAAATATACAGGGTGTCTTAATAAAAAACATTTTTTTCTGTTGATGGCTCTTAAATTATTAATTTTAAAAAAATTATACCATTAAATTTTACGTAAAAAGGTGCTTTGGAAATGTTTTCATAAAAATACAAAATTTTCCATAACAAAAAAGTTACAGCGATTTGTTAGAAATTTGAGAAACACGTCGTAACTCCAAAACGGTAACAAAGAGGGGGGAGAAAGGAGGAGGGAGAGAGAGATAGAGACGGATTGATGCCTACCTGATTTTACTTCTTTTGATACAGTATGTTGTTGTCCGTCAACAAATGGAAATCTACTATTAACACTAGACGAACATTCAGATATAATGTCTAATGCTTCTTTACAAGCTTCATACATCTGCATTTTCTCTTCACGCCTTTTGAGTTCTTCTGGTGATTCTTCCATTAATTGTTGCTAAAATATTCTTTACTTTAGAATTTTGATTTCTAAAAATTATATAAATATTAAAATACCTGATTCTCTCTGGAGTATATGTGAATTAACAATTCTTCGTTAATAAATCTTTTGACTGAATTCAGTAATAAATATGTGATCATTTTAGGTATTAGGTCTTTTGTAGATTTATTTATAATGTTCATATAACTGTCAACGAGATTCCTAATTACTTCTACTTGTCTCTTTAATTGTGGATCCGAATTGTTCAGTTGCTCATCCTAAGAATACCGTTATTCAGTTAAAGTGTATTAATTAAGTATATTCACATTTTTAAGATTTTTTCTATAATATTTTATTTATACACTAGTAAAATGTCAGCGTATAGTTTATGGCCCTAAGCATATCTTACTCATATCAAGCTTAACGTCTTAAAAGCATGCAACATTATCCACACATAGATTTAAACCTCAATTTACATAACAGACTAAATGTTTTCAGTTATTCTAAAATACATGCAAAATAAAAAACGCTACGGAAAATTGTTCCGTCAAATTTTAAGTATTTTATTTTTAACCCAATTTTCATACTTTAATATTGGGCTTTATTGTACAGGGTTTATCGTTGATTTTTACCCTAACTTTAAAACACCCTCTGCAATAATTTCGTGAGCAAATTTTCCTAAAACATTATTTTTCAGTCAGAACCATGTCTCCTGAGCATTTTGTTTTTTGTCTCGTGTCAAAACATGCCTTGGTTAATTTTTAGGAGCAACATGAACTTACCACCAGTAGGCTTTGGTGACTATATTGTCGTAATTTCATATTACGCTGCATTGGATACTTTATATTAAACTAGCGTTAAAGAATAACATATAGTCCTAGTTTTGACACTTAACATTAATAATGATAACTGAACTACTGATATTAAAGAAAAGAACTGTAATAATCAAGTATAGAAACAGAAAAGATTTGCAAAAATACCCTAATACATAGTTTATATTGCCTTCCTTGGCTGCTATAACTTCCTGTAGACATCCGTTCATAGTGTCAATGAGACTGCATATATCATATTACGTTATGTTTTCCCATTCTTCTTTAAGGACCAATCAAAGTCTATGTACTGAAATTGGTGCCGCTTCGCGACCTCTAACCCTCCTGCCAAGCATTTCCCAAAGATGTTCTATAGCATTCAGATCTGTCGATTATGCTGGGCAGTTCATAGTAGTAATAATCAATGACTTTGTCATATTGAAAAATAATACCAAAAAGAAATTATAATTTACTAAATTGGAAACTGTTGTGGCAAGTTCATTTCGCTCTTAAAAATTAACCAAGACATTTATTGTGTATTGACATGAACCAAAAAGCAAAATGCTCAAGAGACAAGGTTCTGACTGAAAAATAATGTTTTAGGGAAATTTACCCACGAAATTGTTGCCTAGGGTGTCTTAAAGTTAGTATACAAAACAACCCTTCGATTAACCCTGAATAATAAACCAAATACATTTTTTTTAACTGAGTTTAGGAATTATTAAAGGTGATATACCTATTTATATAAGTTTGTTAAAAAATTCCTGAAAATAGGGATAAAACTACAAAAAATATATCACTTTAAATGTGACAAAAAAAAAACCTGAACCAAAAAATATTTTGAATATTCTCGATTAATTCTAAATTGATGGCTAAAACGCAGTGTTTCCATTTTTTTACCTATTTCAAAATTAAATCCAAACAACAGACAACCTACGAATGTAATTAAACTGACAATAACAAACACAATACAATTATAAATTTATTATTTATAGGCAATATATAAAATAATATTATGAGCCATTTACTGTGCTTCTCTCCTCAAAAAATAGTGTTAAAATTAACAAATTAATTTCAATTATGATTATCCTTCTCTATATAATATTATGTTATTTCAGTTTTGATTGTTGTAAATGATTTTATACAGGGTGGTCCGAACTGTATTCCGAAAACTTCGGCAGCATATTCTGCAGATTAAAAAAAGTAAAAAAGTTCGTATAAATGTATGTCCTAAAATACTTAGTTTCGGAGATACAAGTTGTAGAAGTTACATTTTTATTTCGATTTTTTTGAAATAATTTCTGAAGTAGCGTCAATATTTGGATGAAAATTGGTGTCTGGGAGATTTTTGACATGAGAAATTTGATTTTGATGTCAATATGACACCCTACTAATAGAGGGCGCCACCTACATATTTTTTAACTGATATGAAGCGTAATAACTTTTTGTCCGTACTTGTATACAACTACTAATATAAAAATATACCTTTACGACGTTTTTTACGTGGAAAAGGTCTCTTGGTAAAAATCGCTACGAGTAATGGTTTTCGAGATATTTGGAATCGAAATTATCAATACCTTTCATCATTGACATAAATTAAACATGTTGACTAAATAGTTATTAGTCTGAAATCATAAATTTGAAATGTTTTTGTGCCAAAAGTTCAACAGAAACTGTTTTATCATCATTTTTTGCAGAAAAATGTACGATTAATTTAAAAAAATAAAAATTTCCCAAATTTATTATTTCAATGAAATAACTATCTACTCAATGTGTTTATTTTTCGTCAATAATCACATATATTGTCTATTTCTATTCTAAATATCTTAAGAACAGTTGCTCGTAGCGATTTTTACAAAGAGATATTGTTTACGTAAAAAGTTATAGAGATGTATATTTTTTTCCTCGGTAGTTTTATACAGGTACGGACAAAAAGTTTTTACGCTTCAAAACAGTTAAAACACATGTAGGTGGCGCCCTCTACCAGTAGGAGTTAAAATTAAATTTGTGAAAATGAAAATTAAATTTCTCATGTCAAAAAACTCCTAGACACCGATTTTCATCCAAATGTTAACGTTACTTCAGAATTTATTTGGAAAAACCCAAAATAAAAATGAAACTTCTACGCCCTGTATGTCTGAAACTAAGCATTTTAAGACATACATTTATACGAACTTGGTTACTTATTTTTATCTGCAGAATATGCTGCCGAAGTTTCCGGAATACAGTTCAGACCACCCTGTATATATCTGACAAAATGTACAACTAATTTTTGAAAATAAACAGTATAAACTTTTATGCAAAATGTGAAAATATTAAATAATATCAATTACAAAATCCAGTGTAAAAATGTCCCCACTTGTTGTAAACACTTTGGAATATAGGTACTCTACTGTATGATCGAAAAAAAACGGCGTCAGCGATGGCTATGAAATGAAGATCGCTGTCATTTTATATGTAAAATTATATGGAATGTCATCGATGTTCATTTCTAAGCAAACTGGACGCCTTTTTTTTTGATCTTACGGTGTATTCACGTACTAACAAAAATAAACTTTTTATTACTATTAAAAATCGAATTACCTGTTCCCCTTCTTCGGCATGTTTTTCTGGGTAAATGCCTGCTCTCAATAAAGAAGCTTTCCAGGCATCCTCCTCATCCAAAGAACTACAGCTTAATTCTAGCTGTTTATAATCCTGCAAAGGATTCCAATATATTTATAATTACTTATGTAGTCCAAAGGTGTAGTCTATCCAAAGATAGAATATTGCTAGTGACACTTCTCTGTTATTTTAATTCAAAAGTACATTAAAAAACAAGGAACCACACTATTCTAGAAATAGTGATATTGGCACCATCTAAGAAATATACCAATCTGGTCATCGAAACTGCGTGGTCTGGATTTTAACGTGTAAGACAGTGATGTAGACAGGCTTAATGAAAAATCAAACGTATTAAAAAGAGATAAAAGTTAGGTTGATACATTTCTTCTATGCGGTATTGCCTGATTTTGCATCAACATTTCAAACCGCACGAGTACTGTTTACGAAAAATGTTGCATCTAGAGCTGGAACTTTATTTTTCACAGTTAGTTACTCATTTAACTACAGCTGTAATATATTCTTAAGCAAATGTGTAACAGAAAAAGCATTATTGAATAGCTTAGATAAAACATGTTATCTTCGTTTATTATTTTATTTTTCGTACGAACCGGCAACACTGTATACCAATTTTTATTTTGTCGCTTTGTCTATCAACTAGTCGTTTATCTCTGTCTGACTGTATGCATTAAAGTACAGACAAAAGAAATAAAGTGACCAGGGTTAGTATATAAAATTACAGAAAATACAATTTACCGACTGTTTAAAATAATACACAGTTTCCTGTTGCTGAGATTCTATCCAGTCACTTTCATAACATTCTGTCTCGTCGGATAGACTTTTACCAGACTAATTTAGTTTTATTTATTTTTTGTATTGGACACGTCATACATATTTAACTGGCAACAGTTAATTGGTCAAAGCTACGATTATATTTATTTTGACGATTTAAGTGACACGGTTTCTCTGTAAAAAACTCCTATGGGTATTTCGTTGGATATTTCGTTATACAAAATAAAATAGTTATTTTCTGTAAACACTGCTGCGTTAATCCAAATGAGACTAATTTGTCAGCAGTGGTTTACTAATAAACAACCGTTTAAATATCTAAATACAACTAGTCAAGAACACTTTAGTTTATTCAACAGATACGTCTATAAAAACCCTTGAGGACGGGAAGAGATATACTTCCCGAAAAGTTAAGCAATATTTTGTCCGTTAGGTAAATTTGATTATTAGTAAACCACTGCTGACAAATTAGTCTCCGTTGGCTTGACGCAGCAAGGTTAACTAGCAAATAACTATTTTATTTTGTAGATTTTCTTGCAGTGGCGAGAGAGGCTTACAGAGGTATAGACATTTTTTGCAGATTTGCTTAATTATGTCGTTAAAAAGATATAAAATGACAGGAAAGAATGATTTATAAATGTGTAACATATATTTTTTTTAGAATGAATAAAAAAAAATTCTAACATATATTTACAACACGAGTTACGTACTATACCCCTCATAGATAAAAGAAACAAGTTTAGATTGGAAAGTGCCCATAAGGACAATGTAAATACTATTTGGCGCTATTCTTACAATGGTCGCTCTCCAAAGTTTTTGAATTATGTCGCCAAAGATTGTTTATTCAAATTCATTATTATTTTCTTTTAATTTTTTTATAATAAAATACAGCATATTAAGGCGCGTATTCATCTGAGCACGAACGCGAACGAGGCAAGGCGAGCATACGAATGTGGACGGGTCTCCGAGGAGCGGCAAACTGCCTCGGTTAGATTCGAGGCTGTTCGGCTGCCATCCGTAGCGAGTCGGCACATCAAAGGGAACTTGAGTACCATTCGGTTCGATGTGGACGGCAATTTTGTATTTTTGCCTTGCGCCTCCGTTTAAATCTTTAATTCGTTAAATTTGTTTTGGTTCATGTGTTTTTGTCATAATAAACTTGCAGTATGAACTGGAGTAATGAAAAAACGTTAATTTTAATTAAAGAATATGAAAAGCGAACTTATGAAACTTTACTATGATGTTATAAAAAAAGAGGATGCCTGGGGCGAACTTGCAGATGTTTTGGAAGAAAAGGTTGACGTATTAAGGAAACTCTTAAATCATCACCTGTCATGTTTCTTTATCTGCCGACAGTGCCGCACGCCGCACGGCCGTGGATCGGTGCCTCGTTCGCTATCCGGCCTGATTTCAATTTGCGGTTTTCAAAGGTTAAACGAGGCATTCGTCCTGCCTCGCCTTGCCTCGTTCGCGTTCGTGCTCAGATGAATACGCGCCTTTATATAATACAGCATCACAAACTTTATTTTATATAAGGACATGTATGAAATACCTTTGAATGATCCATGATGGTTTTTGCAATTCACAGTTTGCAATTATCACGGGTTTGAGTAAATAAAATTTAAATTAAACTCACAAGATGGCAATAATTACATTGAATATGGGCGCTAAACACTTCTCGGTATTTTTTCAATGAGGGCGGTTTAAATTTTAAAAGTTTTTATAATTTTTAAAGATTCTGACTTTGACAAGAGAAAATTATTTCTGTTCTTGTTTTGCTGTTGTTTTTAGTAACCGCTATAGCAGCTCCCTACAGCGTAAGCGCTCAAAAACAATGATTATAAGTTTTGGTGGTAAGCCGAGCATTCTAGTCTAAACTTGTTTCCTTTATCTAAGCTATACCTTACCTGGTTTAAAATGTTATTAATATAAGAGAAATGTCAAAGATTTGTTTGTTTGGTTTGGTTTGGTATATATAACGACAGCTCTACTATTGGACAGAACTGTCGTATATACGTACTCACCTACCTACTCATGTGTAATAAGCTACCAAATCATGTGTAATAAGCTACCTCTTTACCGCACGAGTAAATGGTGCATTTTTATCTGTTTTACATAGATTGTAGGAAAAAAAATTGGCGCCGGGAGGCACGTATAGCCGCCCATACTAAAATATGTTAATATCTCGAAAACTGCGACTTTGACTGATTTTGATGTTATTACAAATATTGTTGCAAATATTATTCCTAATCTTAATTTGAAAACCGCGTTTCGCTAGCTACTGTAATTTTGGAGTTACGATTTTTTAAAATTTTTAACCCCCTCCCATACCCGCTTACCAACCCCCCACCCCCACCAAAAACTAATGGCCAGATTCTCGGCTGCCACAGTACTTTTGTGCCAAATTTGGTTAAAATCGGTTCAGCGGTTTTTGAGTTACCGTGTTACAGATGGCGGACGGACGGACGGACGAACGGACGGACGGACGGACGGACCGACAGACGGACCGACAGACAGACAGACAGACAGACACCATAAAAATATTTTATATTTAAGTCATTTATGACCCAAATAACTCATTTTGAGTGAAATTAAAAAACTTTTTTTTGCCGATCTTAATAGCCTACCATACCTATTGGTATGGTCGGCTAAATATAATGTATCTTCCAAAAAATTACCTTATATATGTTTTTTCCGTTTGCGTGAAATAATCCGAATGTGTGTCTTCTCGAGATAAATTTAGACTCCAAATCTCTAACTTTCAATCCATTTGTCGGCAAAATATACTGAACTTCTTTTTCGGAACTATCCTTAAACCACGAAATATTTTCAGAAGCCAGAATGAACCAAAACTCTTTAGAACCTTAAAAGAAGTTTTTGTTAGAGAGGAAATATGTAAAATAAAAACAGAATTGTGATTAGTACTAATTTAATATAACAAGAGCATTTTTTTAAATCATAATTTTTAAAAGCAATTTTAAATATAGATATATTCTATGTAAATAAAAATAAAAAAAGGAATGTAATCACTGACCTTTCATAAAACTAGGGTTGTGTACGTGCATGTAACCTTTGCGAATAATTTGATCGCCTGGAACGGCTCTCGAGCGGTTAGTAGATTTATTTGCTTGGTTTTCCGCACTAAAAAGAATTTTTGAAATAAAAAAAACTAAACTACTATATATATATATTATTATATATGCGTATTATGTGGCATATTTTTTATCTCAGTTACGAATATTTTAGGATAGTCTTCGACACCGAATCATTTTAAATAGACGCGTTTACACAAGTGAACTGAATTGATCAAATCACTGGAATTTAATTCGCATGAATGCACTATGACCATTTAAACTCCACGAATCATATCAACTGATCAAGTGAGTTGATTCAAGTCTCAGAAACTGTTTAACTTTTGGCGTACAAGTGGTGTTTTTAAAATGGCGGCAAGTATGTGGTCACAAGAAAATTCTGAGAAGTTTATTAATATTTATGAAAAATATGAGTTTATATGGTAACACACAGAATCCAAAATACAAAATTAGTTAAAGGAGAGTCATTTCTAACTTAAACCGAGTATAAATAGCGTTAGGCATTAATGTGCTTTGTTTTTTAATCGTGATGCAACTTTTTGCAATAAAAAATTAATTTAAATTAAATTAGTTTGATGTTTGATCCATCCTTATAATACACTTTATATACACTGTACGGAAAACAGTCCCAAGCAGGAAAAGCCGCGTTTCCTCGCCTAACTTTGTCTCGTCTCGGCTTATCTCCTGCTGTCTCGACTTGTCTTGGCCTATTTTCATTTCTTAAAAACGACTCGAAACTACTCGTGAAATTGCGGAGAAGGAGGTGAGGGTTTTTTTTTTGTCAACTTTCAGTTGTCTCCTGTTATCTCGTTCTATTTCGTTTTGTCTCGAGCTACTTCCACGACGTGTCGGTATCTGTACCCGAGACAAATAACTTTTTTCATAAATCTCAGTGAAATATGTAAACCTAGACGTTTCTTAAATATTTGTTGTTACGATGATATTTCGTTAATTACATCTCGTTTTGTGTTGACGTATATTCCACAAGATTAATATTTGAACACGCGTTTATAACATCTATAGTAGATATTAAAAACAACATTTTTCCCTTAATCTGTAGGAATATAATTACAATATTTTTATTATTTAATTTTATTATAATGAATTATATACCGGGTGCGTCTAAAAAATGGCTCACATAGTTAATAATTCACTCACATAATCTCTCTCGAAATACCAAGTGTGTGATACCAAATTATTCGTAAAAAAATACTTTTTCCAAATATGCTAATGAGCCACCCTCATTCCACTTGAAAAAATTGAAATATGAATAAAAATACGATTTGGGTACTAATACGTCCGTTAAAAGTAACCGACCAGGACAAGACACTAAAAACATTAGACGATCAAATCTATTTGTTCAAGGCTCCTTCATTAAAAATTATTGTTTTTAATACAGCCATGGCACTCTAGATTGAAATTTAATATACAATTTTGTTTTAAGCCAAAATGTCAAAAGTTGACATGATATGTCATTCTATTCAGATTATAAATCGAAATATAATAATATCGAATATAGTAAAAAAATACCGAGGGTACCATTTAAAAATCAAAAGTTGTAGTCGTTTTCGGTGAAACAGGAGGTGACCTAAAACCATTGAATACGTCAATCAATCCTAACTTATGTCATGTACATATGTATAACTTATGTTAGACTTATGTCATATACTAACATACAAAATTTCGTTTTATTACCTGAAAAAATAAAGAAGTTATAGGTGTGAGCCACTTTTGAGACACATCCGGTATAAAATTGTATATGTTATGATTATTTACGGCCTTAATTGATTAATATAACAGTAATATTGCTTGATGAGCAATATTGGTTACATCATCAATATATCGAGCTGATTGGGAAAATGATTGATTGACCCGATGTGAACAAAAGTATGATCCACGGGCATTTTTAAAAACAATTTGCCTAACGGACAAAAAAATGCTTAACGTTTCGTTATTTTTTTTATAGGACTTTTTTGAAGAGATGAATCCGCCACAGGGATATTTCCAGAAATATTTCGTGAAACATTTCGAGCAGGGGGTTTTAATATTTTTTGTAATTTCTAGGGTTTCCTGACTGTAGCTTAGGTATTAAATTATTGGATGCACCATAAATAGATCTGTAGTTAATCAATTTTCTGACCCATATGCTTCTTTTGGGTGTATTTTAACTTTTACGTCTGTTACGCAATAATTCCTAATTCTATTCCTAAAATTCTGACAGTTTGGAGTACCTACGGCCTTACGCACTGTCGCCATTTTGAATCAAGTATATAATATGCTTTCAAGTCAGTTGAAGGCAAGTGACTTAATCAATTAACTTGACTCGTGTAAACACGCCTTTACTAGTAGTATTGAAAATAAAATTATTTACAGGTATAGTCACCATTATTTTTATTTTCAATACCAATGACAGATTATTCCCGAAAAGTACGTTACAAACTGCAATATATTATCTCCACAGTAAAATACAATACGACTAACTTTGCGAATCCAATGAAATCCTCGTGGTTGGTGTTCATGTAGCTGAGCTGGCAATCGATGTACAATAAAATTTGATCCCTACATTTTTGCTCTTCGGTTCGGATCTGAGCCGATATTATCCTATCGACGGCGTCTCTAAGGCAGGGATAACGGGACATCTGATTAGAGTTAAATTTACCGTTGCAGCACGATGGCAAGTCAAGAAGGAATCGCAAAAGATCGGTTAGAGTACATTCCAGATAAAAAAACGTAGGTAAACATTTTTGGTAATGGAATACATACAGTTATTCACCTCATTCGACACGGAGTACTGTAGCCAAATGAGTTTTAGAAATTGTGAGTGTCATCGTAAGATCATTGGGGGACTACTAAAGCTACAATTTAAAATTATTTAAACCGCTAAAAATTTTAAAATACTTTGAATTTAAACTTTAAAAAACAAATAAATGATATTATACAAGGTATTAGAAAAACAATTTTATATTTTAAAAAGTTTGGCATTGAATTTTCAATACCCTGTATGGTTTAGAAAGTACAGACCAACTATAGTAAATACCTAGTATAGTTCTGGTTTCAGGACATATCTTCTATTTTTAATAATTATTTCAAAAAAAGCTGAAAAAATATTTTTTTTATTTATTTGTTAATATCTCTAAAACTATCAAAACATATTTAATAATATCTTAGGATTATATAAAGTGATCAGAAAGGAAGGCAAAACTGCAATAATATACAGGGTGTTTTGTTTAAAAAAAATCATCGAGATCCACTCACACTTTTTTGGACCACCCTGTAGAAGTTAGAATATTTTCTTGAAATACATTCTAATACATACTTTAGGTCTGCACTTAAACAAAGTTAACTATTTTATTATAGGAGCTACAAATGCCCGACTCACTTTTGCTGGACCCTGTATACAGGGTGCTCCGAATTCTATTCCGAAAGCTTCGGCAGCATAGAAGTTATTCGGAAAAAAATAGAAAAAAAAACTGAAACTTCTACACCCTGTATCTCCGAAAATAAGCATTTAAGCACATACGAACATACGAACTTTTTTACTGGTATTTATCTGCAGAATATGCTGCCAAAGTTTCCGGAATACAATTCGGACCACCCTATATATTACACATAATCATAATTATCTTTAGATATTCTCTCATTTATATATATATTGGTATACATAAGAGAGATATCCTTATTATAAGCCTGGGATACCTACGTTTCTTTTAGTTCCTTGTGTAATACTCTATAAAGAAGTAACGAACAATGAGAAGACAATTATTTTACTTCACATTATGATTAAAATATACTTTAAAATATTTCTTAAAATGTTGAACTTTAAAGAAGATTTCTGCATAAATAAAAAACATAATTCTAATGATATAAAAAATTGAGAAAAATTATCTATGGCCATTAAAGTTACAATAAATAATGTGTATAACCTATTTTTTGAAAAACTAAATATTTTGGAAATATTGTCTACCAGTACTAATCCGATCTTTTACGAGTCCTAGAGATAAAATAGTTACTTACTCGTTCGGAACATAAATGAATTACGTTCAATAGTTCTGCTACGACCAAGTCCACACACTTCATACATGGCTCTTTAAGTCTTTCTATTTGCTTTTTAACTATTGCATCAAAAGCTAGATCGGGAGTAAATAGTCCTATCTATATCAAAATTTAACTTTATTACGACAGAGACAATGTTATACAAAAATAATGTTTCCAATCTTATCCGATATAAGCACTCTCAAAATAAACGTGGAGTCATATGTGTCCGATTTCCGATGAGACGATGTAATCGTGCATTTTAATTTTAAGTACGCTTCAAATAGCTACAATTAATCGTATCCAGAAATTTATAATTTAACTTTGACACTGACAACTGCGAGAAAGAGTTGTGGTTTTATTATTTTATATTAAGTAATTTAGAAAAAGTGTCGCTGGTGATCCTTAAGTAATTGAAATATTTTTCTTCATCTGCTAAACGTATTTCTTGTAACAAATTATTATAAGTGCCTTCCTGCTATTTCTATTACAAACCCAACATTTTCAGGTTTCGTGTTGAGTAATCTGTTTTTCTTTTTCATCCAACTGAAGATGAAGATATAAAAGTATATAACACCTTATTTATATTAGATATGTAATATTCCTCAAATTAATATCGATTAGAAGAAAAAAGTCTTGTGCCAGAGGGTGAAAAAAAGTAATGTGCCCCTAGCAGCTGACTAGGAGTTACCACACCAACGACAAGATCTCGCGTCTCCTAGAGGAAGTAGTTTTTGTAATTACTTGATATTAAAAAAAAACCTTGTAGGGGTTTTATATTTTCTTTTAAAAAAGAAAATATAAAACCCCTACTCCTTCTGTCGGTTTTTCTTATTAAAGTTAAATTATGAAGTTTCGGATACGTTTAACCGAAGTTATGCAAATAGCACTTTACGCAAAGATTAAAATCGTATCATAGGAAATCGGATGCATAAGAGACTTCACCTTTATTGGGCTTTCTAAAATAATTCCGCATAAACATTTTTGTATTTACTAAATAATAGAAAAATTATTCCATTTGTTGGTATTATTTTAGCACTGTATAAACTTTTCAAAAGAAATATGTAATATGAGAAAACGCAACAGAGGTTCATCACCCATAAAAAGTATGTACCAGCATTTTTGCATCTACGTTCTGCATAAAGAAATACCCCTAAAAATACAGGGTGGCCCACCTCATTCGCCTTGGTTGATTATACGAAAACGGAAAGTTGTAGAAACAAAATATTTTATGGGTATATGTGGGAAGGCAATCTGCATAATTTAAAATTATCTTGAAATATACAGGTTGTGTCAGAACTAAGATCCATACCAAAGTTATATTTTTTCTTATGGAACACCCGGTATTTCATTTTATTTTTGGATTCTTAGGCATAAAATAGGCATTTACTATAAGGATTTAATATGTTTAAATACTTTGGTTTTTGAGATATTTAAAGATATTTAAATATGCATGCTATAATAAAAAAGTTTGTCAACACCTTGTATATTACTTTTCAGAATTATTTCTTATTATGAGGGTTTAATATGTTTAAATGATTTGGTTTTTGAGATATTTAAAGATATTTAAATATGCATGGAATAATAAAAAAGTACACCCTGTACATTACTTTTCAGAGTTCATTCTTGTGTTAACTTTGAAGCCAGAGAAATAAACTTTACTAAAATTTTTTATTGCTTCCTTAAATGTATACAGGGGTATCAAAAATTGCTTGTCTATTTTAAATATTAATTTTACATAAAAACTTTGTTATTTCAAATGCAAGACCCTGTATTTTTTTAAATAAATCGAAGCAGATTTAAATGCTCTTTCAAACTATATTAGAGTTTCCTATACCTATCTGGCTCAGATTTTGAATAAAAAGCGACTTTTCAATAAAATTATAGTCAAGATGGCTGGTGTCGCCATGGCAATTTTCTAGTGACACGCATGTTAGCACAGTTTATGAACTTTATTTAAATTTATAATAGGTTATTTTTATTTAATTTACTTACACTAAGGTTAATAAGTAATTATTTATGATTTTATCAAGAAAAATGAAGCAGTATCTGCTGGAGGAAGGAATGGCTATGTTACTAGTGATTTTATTTTGTGAGGACAATTACTTATTGGCCTGCTGGGTTTATGCTGAAAGATATCCAAATATGAATTTTCTTAACAAGCGCTCCTTGGAAAAACTACTTTTCCTATTTCGCAGAGCTTAATAGTGTGGTATATGAAAAATCTATTAGGCAGAAACCTGTCGTTGGAAGTGAAGAAAATGAATTTGCCTTAATTGGCTCTTTTATAGAAAATCCAAATATCTACAATTCATCGTAATATAAATCAAAGAACTACTTCTTTGTTTTTCTTGATAAAATAATAAATACTTACCTATTAAACTATTGCAGGTAAATTAAATAAAAGTGAACTGGTATAAATTTAAATAAAGTCCATAAAATAATGTCGATTTTGAAAATAGCTACTAACTGTCACTAGCAAATTGACATGGCGGCACCAGCCATCTTGATTGCCATTTTATTGAAAAATCGCTTTTTGTTCAAAATCTGAGCCAGATAGGTACAGAAAACCGTAAAATAGTTTGAAAGAGCATTTAAATCTGCTTCGATTTATTTTAAAAAATACATAGCGTTGTATTTGAAATAACGAAGTTTTTATGTAAAACAAATATTTAAAATTGACTGTAGCTCAGAAATGAAGAGGGCTATGAAATTTTTGTTGACAGCATCTTCAAAAATTGACAAAAAGGTGGCACATGTAACCCCACCCTTATATCTTCACGAATAACGGAAATACCGTATGATTTCAACTAAAATGGGACACCCTGTACTTTCCAAATATTTCCATGCAGAATTGGGACAAGAAGTAAAAGTTCTTCAGCACTTGAAGATATATCATAAAATTTTCCAAAATATGTTTGTTTTTAGTATGTATGTCAATTTTTACTTATTGCGTTTCTTTTAGAAAAATATGTATTATTATAATATAAAGTTTAAAGACTCTCTTTTATTAAAAAATAAAAGAAATAAAAATATATTATTATTTGCTGAGGGCCGCAAGGGGCCCAGAAAATATTTGAACACGGGCCCGTGAGTTCCTCCCTACCTCACTGCTGTTTCTGCTTAACCCGGTTTTCCAACGGAATTTCAACTCAGACGATAATATTAAAACTAAGAGTAGCTATATTCGAATTAAACTTCAACTATTATGTCTACCTCAAAATATGAAAGACAAAAGTTAATTTCAGCGATACTTACCCTAATCCCATGGATATTACATATAGCTATCGCTATTTCTTTCCTAAGCTCGTTCTCATCGAATTCCTTTTTGACTATTTCGAATGGAAATCTCTCGTGGAATAAGGAATTTATTTTCGCCCCGCCACACAATTCGCTCGTATTTATTTCGCTGGATCTTGACCCTTCCAACGCTTTCTCAAATTCTACAGAGAAACACTGAATCATTCTTGAAAAGAAAACAAATATTTAATTACTTTTCGACAAAGTTCACTTGCGGTGGAACAGACCTTACAACATTTTTAATTTCTTCACTGTCTTGTGACATGTTTACAAAATCAACTGACAGTTGACAAGTACATTAATTGTCATAACGAACAGTGGGGGTTTACATGCATGCGTCATGCATCGTCCGTCATTGATTTTGTGTAATTTTATCGGTTTATTTCAAAAATTCCAGCTCATACTTAAATATGATTGGAGTGACGGAACGATGGAAGACGCATGATGGATGCATGTAAACCCACCCTAATTGAATTAAAATTTTATCCACCTCTGAGTATTAATGGTATACAGGAGTTACTCGCTTTACGCAAAATACTTATACGCGGCTTCGCTTATACGCGTTTGCATTTTTGATACGTATGACTTATTATCCCGGTTCACCTTATACGCGATTTTATTAATATGTATGTAACTCAATACGAGAACTAATCAACTGTTGTCGAGTTGCGAGTATGTGGTACTAAATTATTCGCAAAAAAATGCTTTTTCCAAATATGCTAATGAGCCACCCTCATTCCGTTTGAAAAAATTGAGATATATTTAAAAATACTATTTGGGCATCTTTTAACGACGATCAAATCTATTTTCCAAGGCTCCTTAATTAAAAATTAATGTGTTTAACACAGCCGTGGCATTTTAGATTGAAATGTAAATTACAATTTTGTTTTAAACGAAAATGTTTCTTTTTTTTTAGTTTAGTCATTTTCTATTGAATAAAGTAAAAAAATACCGAGGATGCCATTTAAAAATCAAATGTTGTAGTCATTTCCGGTGAAACAGGAAGTGGCCGAAAAGAAATGAATACGTCATCACTCCTAATATATGGCATATACTAACATACCAAATCTAGTTTTTTTTATCTCAAAAAAAAAGTTATAGAGGTGAGCCGCTTTTGAGACGCACCCGGTATACATGTATAGCCAAGACATATTAAATTAATGAAATTGCTGATTTAAGAAACTCATTGTCTGGAGATAAATCTATTGATTTACATCAGCAAAGATGTAACGGACATCCTTAAATCACATATTAGTGAACTTACTGAAGAAGACCTTAAAGAAGTGAAGCATAAGAATGGAACTGAAGAAAGGGTTGAGGATGTATTCCTGGGACAATAGAAGTGATCACTGAAAACTGTATAAAATTAAAACTATAATTGCACATAATTTACCTTTATACAAAAGTGCTTCGTTCGTCTTTTTTGGCATTTTAGGAAGCTTATTGTCAAATATAATTTGTGTGTAACTAACATAAAAACTAATAAATAAAAATAATACTCGAAAAATACAACATTTAAAAAAATTCATAAAAAAACTTCATAGACTTTTTCTGGGGTGAAAATATACCACCTTTAAAAATATTAGCACTTGTTTAAAACTCAGCCTGTATAATGTAGTTAGTTTATGTAATAAAAAGGTTTGTTTCAATATACTAACTACCAGGGGTGAATGGGCCATATGGGAAAACGGGAAAATTCCCGGTGGGCCGGTGGAAAAATGGACCGGTGGGCCGGTCCCTATCAGAGCTCAAAAAAGATTGGATTAGCAAAAATTAAATGGTTAATCTTCTAACTTAAGTGACGTAAGATCCTTAGTGGCTCCATAACTATTATAACTAATAAATTTTCATCAGTATAATCGTCAGTTGCTTTTAAACATAAACACCAATTTGTAAAATAACTATTGTAAAATGTCTTTCTCTGGGACACTTATAATTTTAATAATCATCTGTTGTTTGTTCAGTTTGAAAATTTTTATTATAGAAGGTGAGTCAAGTGCAAATATTTTCAGGGGTGGTAGATATCAATAAAATAAACATAATATATTTTCTTTATCGAGTTTCAAATAAGTCAAATCGAGTTATTAAAGTTAGGAAATTTAAAAAAATAGATTTTAAAAAAAAAATTGAGCCACCTCAATTTTTCGGTATTTGCATCTCTTTTAGTGCCGTAATATCAGAGATTAAGAAACTATACCGTGGGAAAATTTGCGGTGAACAGGAAGTTCTAAAAAGTTTTCTAAAATATACAGGAAAATTTAAAAGAAAATGCTCGATTTTTAACATCTTTTTTGCAAAAAAAGCTCATAGACGTGTTCCTGGGGTCGAAATATACAACCACTGAAAATATTTGCACTTATTTAAGACTCACCCTGTATGATTTTACCCAATATTCTTTTATTAATAACCAATAAATATGACTGGCTGGCAGCAAAAAAAAGGATGAATAGCATTAGGTAAATTTAAATAGTCTCGATCTAAATGTATACTAAGAATACGATAGCGTAGATTGACAACTGGGGGCCTCGGGTCTCGGTGCAATATTTATCGAGCTCCCCTTTGTAAGAAGGTGGACGAATTTGACGCGAACTCTGCGGTTGACGGAGAAAACATATATGTATATGCTTGGCTTGAATTGGGGACGAACTAAAAGTCAAGTCTGAGAACTAAAAGCCAAGTCTAAATTGTTGTTTAAAATGTTGCTAAAATTAATTTGCTAAAAATTACTGAGACAGCAGAGAAGAGTTAAATAAGGTTTAAACTAGATCAGATAATAAAATATTAATATGTGTCGAAAATCCAAATATTCTTATTATGGACTGTAACATAACATTACATCAGAACACATTTATATCCACTGCCTAGGTATTGCCTAGGTTTTTTTCGTTTGCGCCATGGCATTATCATACAAGATGCCAAATGTACAAAACTATAGAGGAAAAGTTTCGTGATAAGAACTATACAGGTTGTTCCAGAAATAAGTGCAAGTATTTTAAGGAGTGGTAGATCTCGATAAAAGAAACATATTTTCTCTTTACCGTTTTTAAAATAAGTCCAAAATAACGGAGTTATTTTACTCTTTGAAAATTTCCAAAAAAATATTTTTTTGCTCAAATTTTGAGAACCACTGGATCTTTTCTGGATTTTCTTTCTTGTAAAACCTATGTTGCCATATTATCAAGAAATTCTGTTGTTTAACTAAAAACTAAAAAAATTTCCAAAACATTTTTCAAAAAATTCTTTTTTGCGAAAAAAAACATCATAGGCGTGTTTCCGGGGGGTGGAACTATACTACCAGTTAAAATACCTGCACTTATTTCTGGGACACCTTGTATTAATAAATAAGATATGTTTCTTCGTTATGATCATTTTCTTTTTGTGGATTTGGGCCGGTTGTCTGTTTTTCTCGGGCCGGTTTCCACTTCCCCATCCACCCCTGCTAACTACTAATATTAACATACACGTAAAACGAGAATTTCCAGCATTTTCCTATGACTTATTATAATAGTTAACAGTATTTTTATGAATATAATAACATCAAAACGTTATTTCAAAAGAGAATACAGCTTAAAAATACCATACATCAATAGTTCAAAAAGTTTCTATACAAAATTATTTTCTATTAACGTGCATTGTATTAATAGCTATAATCTTAAAATCCTATAAGCTTAAGAATAATAAAATCTATATAATATCACAGAAATCAAAAACGGGTAAGACAAAATAAAAATTTGTACTATATGCTGTATTGTCTATAAACCGTTTAATATGAATATGAATAATAATATGAATTATTATATTAAAATGTTTATTATTCAATGATCAAAAGTCAGTAACAGCTAGATTATCCTTAATACCATTTACTACATAATAGCAACACAACAAACAATACTAAAAATTATAAAATAAATAAAATTTTACTTACTGTAAAAGAGCTTTACTTTTCAAAGTTGGATCGTCATGCTTGAAACTTTTTAAATCTCCTATATCCTTACTTAAATCTAATAACTGCTTCTGTAGCTTATCTCGTAGATTTGGCAGGGTGTTCTTTATATGACTAGTTAGTTGAGCGTTTAGCGTTTTTTGGAGATAAATGGTTCCTAATTTGTCTGATAAATGACGATAGGAAGGGTGACTAAAAATAAAGGTTGTGATTCAGTGGCGGACTAAGCCTGTCGGGGGCTCGGGGCGGCAAAGCTAAATGTGGCCCCCGGTCTGCACATTTTGTAAAGATTGAATGACGTATGTATAATGGTTGACAAATTTCAAGTATTTATGTACTGTACTAATTGTAATAAAAATCGATATATATATATATATATATATATATATATATATATATATATATATATATATATATATATATATATATATATATATATATATATACAGGGTGTCACAGAAATAAGTGCAAGTATTTTAAGGAGTGGTAGATCTCGATATAAGAAACATATTTTTTATTTATCGTTTTTCAAATAAGTCCAGAATAACGGAGTTATTTTATTTCGAAAATGTCAAACAAAATTATTTTTGCTAAAATTTTGAACCACTGGATCTTTTCCGCATTTTCTTTCTTGTAAATTGAATCTAATACCTATGTTGCCATATTAACAAGAAATTATATTTTTTAACTAAAAACTAAAAGAATTCACAAAAACATTTTCAAAAAATTTCGAGTTTTCAAATTTTTTTTCGCGGAAAAAATCTCATAGGCGTGTTTCTAGAGTTGAAATATTCTACCAGTTAAAATACACTTATTTCTAGGACTCCCTGTATATACACTTATTTCTGGGAAACCCTGTTTATTACAGTCTGTATGTCCCCGGATTGTCTTTATAAAAGGAAAAACTTTTTTATTATTGACTTTTTGAAAGAAATGCGTTCTTCATAAGAATTTTTGCTTGTTGTAAAATGGCGTTTATAATTTTCTAAATATCCATACCGTTTTAGAAAAAATAAAAAAAAAACATAAAAATGTAGTTTTTTAATGTAATTTTTTCCCCAAAAAAATCCTATAAAATTTAAAAGTCCTAAAAATTAAAAGGATATGGTAATATCATTTCGATTTCATTTTTTGATAGATTGTTATACATAATTAATTTTGATTAACGTCATATTTTTTGATGTTAAAGTATCACATTTTCCGATACTATTATCACCCTTTTCGTAGCATTGGACTAAATAAATTTTGTGCTTCTTTAACATTTTAAAACAGCAAAAAATATAACTTTAATTAAAATTCTGTCAATAATAATCTATCAAAAAATGCGAACGAAATTATATTACCATAGAAACGCGTTTTATTTTTACTAGTTCAAAAATTCAACTACATTTTCATGTTTTTTTTTTATTTTTCTCTAAAACGGTATGGAAATTTGGAAAAGTATAAACAGGAATTACCATTTTAGAACAAGCAAAAAATTTTATGAAGACAATCCGCGGACATACCGTAGATATAAATATGTTATTCATCGGCAGTGCCGTTTTTACGTAGGGACCCGACGCGACGGGCCCCGACCAGAGGATTAAGGGCCCCAGCTCCAAAAAGGCCTCAAAAACGATAACATTAATTTTTTTAAAGCTTATAATAATATTTTTAAATTGAAAAACGAATGCAATTTGACGTAATAAAACAATCCCCGAGTGAATGTTCGCATATATTTAATGGCAATTTATGATGACAAAGTGATGGGAATACCGGTTCCACATATAAGCCGCGTTACTTTCGCGACCGTCCCAGGTAAATACCGCAAAAAAATATATAGGTCCAAGAATAAATAATAATTATTCGAATATAAAAAATAATAATTATTCGATATTCTAAACAAAGAAAATTACCCCTTGATTTAATTTCGTAAATAGAAAAATGCCATTGACAATTACTGGGGCCTAATAATTGATAATTAAGTAAATATCTACTTCCATTTATACTTTGTATAGTTTGCGAATACTTACGTTTTGCATACTCTAACTACAAATTGCTTTATAACTACTGAATTGGCCTTGTTTGCCAGTTGAATAAAAAATTACTTATTAAGATTTGGAGGCCCCCTAGAAGAAGGGGCCCGGGGCGGACCGCCCCTTCCGCCCCCCCCCCCCCTTAGTCCGCCACTGTTGTGATTACTTATACAGGGTTATTCACCATATACGACACGGAGTATTGTAGCTAAACGATTAGATTTTTACAAATTGTAAGTTTTGGTTTCGTTAAAGTACTATTAGAGCTACAATTTAAAAATATATTTACAAGATACAGAGTGTTTCAAATAAATAAAAAATGTTACAGTTGTATTTTTTTAAATGTAACACCCTGTATATTATTTTATTTTTAGATTCTACAATTGAAATAAAGGTATATTTCATTAAGGTGTGTCACACTTAAACCACAGAGTAGAGAATATATTCTGTAATCTGTGCTTAAACCTTGCCGTTTTTGAAATATAAGGCCAATATTTCTTCAAGATATGAAAGTTTTGCTAAGCTAAGAATGCTAAATATTTACTGAAGTTTATTTATTGATCAGATATTATATTGTCTAACAATGTATTTTAAATAATTAATAGCTTTAAATTATAAGAAAATGTATTTTTTAGGAAAAGTTGAAGAGTAAAAAATCTGTGAAAAATACAGTATAATACAATTTTGATAGACAATTAAATTTTGCATCTAGTTCTCGTAAAATATACAGGGTGTTCCATTTAAATTAAACAAGTTATTGACGTTTAAAGCTAGCAATGATTTAAAGTAAAATTTTAGACACTCTGTATAAGGTAGTATAACTCTTATTATTACATCACAAAACAATTACTAAATAGAAAGACTTCAGTAAAATATTTGGTTTTAAAAACTTAAATGCGTTTAGAGCAATGAAACATTAAATTTGTTACTGTATTTTGACAAATACGTCAATGTTTCAGAAATGGTACGATTAAAATGCGGTAAGCCTTAATCAAATTTACCTTTATTTTAATCGTGGAAACTAAAAATGTAATAATATTCAGGGTTTTTCATTTAAAAAAATACAACTTTGACATTTCTTATTTATTTGGTTTACAACACTCTGTATCTTGTAAAAATATTTTTAAATTGTAACTGTAATAGTCCTTCAACGAACCCAAAACCTACAATTTGTAAAAATCTAATTGTTTAGCTACAATACTCCGTGTCGTATGTGGTGAACAACCCTGTATAGTCAAATTTACTTTTCATATTGATGGGCTTATTGTAATAATATGATATTCCACAAATCTATATTTATGAATTATTAGATAAATATTAATAAATATAAATTTGAAGACATTTTCGAGATAGTTTACTTTAACTGGCTAAGTATTTATCTAACAAATTTGTTGGAAAGAAGGCAAGAAAAACACTAGTTACTAGTTAATAAAACTGATTTATGGTTGAGTGGCTTATCATGTTATGACAATAAGCCCTTCTTATATTTTGTAAACCAAATGAAAATATTGTTATTTGTTTGGTTTGGTAGAAGAACTAGTATTTAATTAAATAGATTCCAAAATGAGTTTATTATGATGCTTAATATTTTCATACTAATTTATTGTAATAAAATAGTTCTGTTACACTGGCTCCAAAATTTATAAAATAACTTAATTATTAGCCAGTTGTGAAAACAAGTTGTTTGTGAATTTGTACATTGGGCATCATTCGGGTGAAAACTCCTTCGGTTCAATACGTTTGCGTTTTGTACGTTCGTAAAGGCACGTAAAGATACGTATCACGTATCCGTAAACGCAAGTGAATTTCTCACTGCGCAAGCGTACATGTCAAAGATACGTTTACGCCTGCGTCTTTGGCCGTGCTTTAACTGTCTAATAATCTCATTTATTCCACTAATTGCGAGGTTCTCAATGAATCTTTACTTTTTCTACTAATTGAAAACTACTACCACTAATTTGCACGTTCTGAATGTTTACATTGAAATTAGAGTAACAAACTTCTACCCTAATTGAAACCACTAATGTATTCCACTAATTTGGAGCTTCTGAATGAAGCGCAAACAAACTTTTAACTTTTCCACTAATTATACGTCAAAATTTGCCAAATTATCTATGTAGAGAACTTCACAATAAAAAACCTTATCTGAAAATTGCTTCTTATTTTTAAACAACCACAACCCGATTTTTTGCACTTATGCATTTATACCTTATATATTATATGAAGATAATCAGTTTACCTCATAAAGAATTTTCTTTCTGCAGCTATTTGAACATGGATATCCTTTCCTCCTTGTAAGTCTTTCTGAGATCTGTTTACTACTCCTACATAACCCCTTCTTAAAGGTAAAAGTTTATTTTCTAAAATCTCACGAGCATCGGTACCAGCATCCATAAGATCCAACTTCGTAATCACGCCAATTGTTCTAAAACCTAAAATAATATAATATTATGTTTATAAAAGCATTTCCAAAGTCAGCTAAGGATCTTTATTTCAGCTCTGCCCTTGTGGGCACCACTGTCGACATCGTCTGAAAAAACAACAACCCTAAACCAGCCCAAGTGATTTTAGAAATACCCGACTTTAGTTCAATTTAACAAATTTATTTTATGCTGCTACAATTGCGCATCGCTTAAAATCAATTGGTATTAAACATACATAAATAGTGTAAAGAAGTTAATCTGTTTTGTCTGTGTCTTTTTTATAAGCTTTTATTTAACTTGCTTTGTATGTAACTATCTACTTGTAAGCTAAATTAGAACCACTCGCTTTTATTGTAGGAAATTGAAATTTGGCATGTAGGTTCAGTCCCGATGACAATACATTTTTTTGCAAGGCATGACCCGAATTTTTGACAGCTGTCAAAATGGCGCCATTTTTGAGGTTTTTGATTTTTTAAAATTCTATTTATGAATGGATCGGGCTGAAATTATATATGGTATATAGGTATATTGTGGGCATATACATATGAAAAAAAAATATGGACGGCCATCTTGAAAAAATGATAGTTTAATGACATGTCAAAATTTCAAAGTTGTCCGATTTTGGTAAAAATCGATATATAGGATGGCCATGGGCTAAAATGAAACAAAAAAAAATTGAACTGTCAAAAAAATTTCAAAGTTGTCCGATTTTGATAAAAATTGATATATAGCATGGCCATGGGCTAAAATGAAAGAAAAAAAATTGAGCTGTCAAAAAAATTTCAAAGTTGTCCGATTTTGACAAAAATCGATATATAGGATGGCCATGGGCTAAAATGAAAAAAAAAATGAGCTGTCAAAAAAATTTCAAAGTTGTCCGATTTTGATAAATATCGATATATTGGATGCCCCCTACCCCATAGTCGGTTTTCATTTTATTTGTCTCACATTTGAACTGTGAAATTTGACAGCTGTCGTTTTTTTAAGCTCTCCTCTTTTAATGAAAATCGACATACATATTATTAGGATGGCCATAGGAAGCTATTTAAGAAAAAAATTGAGTTTAAGTGTGTGGCACTGAGAAACCAGCATAACTAAAAAGTAAAAAATAAATCTCAGAAAAAAAACATTTTTAAGAACAAGCTTTTATTTAAATACACTAAAAGGAAAAAAAACTTTTTCTTTAAAACTTTTATTATGAACTTATAACGTCATTATACAATTTTAAAAATATTATATAAAAGCTTGTCGCGAGATTTCTCTACATCGATAAACAAGTAAATTAACTAAAACCTGTGTGTACCCTGTCTCATTTTGAAAGTTTGTGTTATGATAGACCACTAGACCAGGAATGACAAGATGAAGTTGTCGTACCAGACTTTTATGAGTGCAAATGTACACTCAAATCTCACGACAAGCTTTTATAATATTTTTAAAATTGTGTAATGACGTTATAAGTTCATAATAAAAGTTTTAAAGAAAAAGTTTTTTTTCCTTTTAGTGTATTTAAATAAAAGCTTGTTCTTAAAAATGTTTTTTTTTCTAAAATTTATTAATATTTCTTTCTCTATTTACTTCTGAATTTTCGATCTGCAATGTCTCTCAATGACCCGTAAACACTAGAATTCATTTAAATTTAATGTAACCCAACCCAAACTTATTAAGTACCTAATGAGCAATTACTCAGTTACTCAGTTACAAGTATATAATAAGTTTTTCGCGACATATGCACAATAAAAATGTTTAAGTGCTTATACTTCTAAATTAATACAAAAAACAAAGCAATAAGACTTGTAACACGTGTTTTGCTCCTACGAGCAGCATTAGAGAAACATACAGTTATGCCCGGACCCCATTAGCCGATGCCATGCTACCCCACGTTATGTAGATCAGTGCGTATGTTTTTCCATTTAATTATATGTATTGTGTACACACTAGGCAACACGCCACGCCATCCGACGCTATAACACGCTATGCCACGTATGATGGTCGATTCGTCGGTCCCAGATCTCACCGACGTGTGTTACGGCGTGTTGTTACCCGCTTGCATCTCTAGTCCCGCAGCTATCTACTTCTGTAATTGATATAGGGATGTCCCAAAAATAAAAAATCGATATTTTGAATCGATTCAACATCGGATATAACAAAATAGATCCAGAACAAAACGGCAACAAAAGATTGATCCCCAAAAGATTGATTTAATAATATCGATATTCGATTCTGAATATACTGGTGTACTGGTATTATGATTATAATCTAATATCGGTATGTGTATCGATACTTCTAATATTTTCGTAAACACTGGTACATACTGTGTACAGCCATTTCCACGTCGCAATAACACGTGGGATAGCGTGGCATCGCGTGGCATCGCGTGAGGTGTTGACTAATAAGGTCCCGGCTTTAGGGTCACACCACACACATTCGCATCTTGCATATTAAAACAACACTCTTGACTCAGACTAGATAAACAGTTTTCATGATGCTCGTAGGAGCGAAACACGTGTGTCAGTGACTTACAGTCTTACTGCTTTGTCTTTTGTATTTATAAACCAAGTCTCTTTGGATTAATGGACAGCTTTTTTAAATTTCTAAATTAATGACAGTAATTTAAAGAAGGCGTCCATTCTTCTCAAAGAAACCTGGTTTAAATTAAAAAAGTTGAAAAAAGACTCAAAGTCTCGGTCTCAACGTTTATAGAATGTTAAACTGTTACACGTGTTTATAGGCAAACAAACTGGGTAGATGAGTGCCGTTTACACCAAACAAACTCGCTTTACAAAAACACTGACAAAACTCAGTTAACCTTCTATTTGCCAGTGACAGAACTTTTCGTTGTTGAAAAAAAAGTCGCCAAGCTCAAATCTCCAAAATATTTCTCATTTTGAAAGGTCCAGTTGCTGTTTTGTTGAAAAGTACGGAATGTCTCTTTTGCCGTGATTTTGTCTGTTTGGTAGAAATCCGCCTTTAGAATGTATTGAGCTCACGTCGCGTCGCTCTGCGTGAAACAAAATGCCTTTCAATTTAACAACTTTTCCGAATAACAGGAAGGAAAAGTAATGGGTTATTCATTCGCTCTTATTTGAATAAATATATTTATGAGACGCTTTAAGGTTTTTTTCCAGTAAAGTTGCATCTATTATCCAAAGTATAGTTTAAGTAGATATGTGAATAATATAATTATTGTTTTTGACAATGGTATGACTATCAATAGCTGTCGTTTTATCAGAATTAACGTTTTTTATTATTTTGTTCTTAACGTTTTATATCATCGTGTTTAACATTCTGATTGGACACGAAACAAATAAGTACTCGTAGGTCGTAGTAGGAAAACATATTTTTTGTCAGTTTATAACTATAAAATCTTGTCGTTATAAATCCGTTTTCTCTATTTTAGTTAGACCTTCTGAAGATATCAAAATATTTACTTTTTTATTTTTATTTTTAGAATTTTCACAAATTATACTTCCTAACACTTTTAGTATAATTAAATAATAATTTTTTCGTAGAATCGCTATGACCCGTGTATTTGTATATACTAGTTTACGATATTCTCCGATGGTGGCAGCACCGGCGGAGAATGCACCAAATCTATGATAGAGATTCGGTTAGAAATATGCTCATAACTGTTTTGTTATTTTGGCATTTAGTATGCCTCTTACTTATGGTCTATAATTATTATAACTTATCTATTTTTATTAGAATTATACCGTGTGTTTCAAAAACATGTGCCATCTCTCGTGGGGAGATTTCTCACGTAAAAATAAGATTTATTTTTGTTTATGTTTTGCTGCGCTACTGACTTTTTTTCTTTTGATATCAAAATTGTGTAGGTCGTTTAATGCCAATTAAAAGCTATCTCTTGATATTTTGTCGAATACGGCCTCATTGATGAGATAAACGCAATTTTATTAATCACAATTAATAAAATTAAAATTAAAATAAAATTAATAGATTGTATATTTTACCTAATTTACTATTAAATTTTATTGCTATTAGTTATTATTACTATTAGTCCAACCTACAGCAATTTCAAATAAAAAAATATTGGTATTTTTATTTTTAGAATTTTCACAAATTATACTTCCTAACACTTTTAGTATAATTAAATAATAATTTTTTCGTAGAATCGCTATGACCCGTGTATTTGTATATACTAGTTTACGATATTCTCCGATGGTGGCAGCACCGGCGGAGAATGCACCAAATCTATGATAGAGATTCGGTTAGAAATATGCTCATAACTGTTTTGTTATTTTGGCATTTAGTATGCCTCTTACTTATGGTCTATAATTATTATAACTTATCTATTTTTATTAGAATTATACCGTGTGTTTCAAAAACATGTGCCATCTCTCGTGGGGAGATTTCTCACGTAAAATATAAGATTTATTTTTGTTTATGTTTTTGCTGCGCTACTGACTTTTTCTTTTGATATCAAAATTGTGTAGGTCGTTTAATGCCAATTAAAAGCTATCTCTTGATATTTTGTCGAATACGGCCTCATTGATGAGATAAACGCAATTTTATTAATCACAATTAATAAAATTAAAATTAAAATAAAATTAATAGATTGTATATTTTACCTAATTTACTATTAAATTTTATTGCTATTAGTTATTATTACTATTAGTCCAACCTACAGCAATTTCAAATAAAAAAATATTGGTATTTAAGATAATTACAAAAAAAAACTAATTTTGAAAAATTTTAATATCCTGTAACTCTAAAACCATGCATTTCCATACCCATGTTTATAGGAACTTATTTTATATTTTTTGATGAGGAATTTTTTTAAAGGTTGCTGTTAGACTAGGATCAAGACAAATTAATAAAATTCCGTTTATCTCATCAAGGAGGCCGAAATCGACAAGATATCAAGAGACTACATCTAATCGGCATTAAATTGCTTACACTATTTCGCTAAGAAGAGAAAAAAAAGTCAGTAGCGTACATGCTTTTTTTAGAAAAATATTCCAGTAATAACCCATATGTACGTCCCTGGTGAATATGCCGACACTTTTTAGCTTTAAAATGTGTTATGTGTGCATTTATACTAACTTTTATCCTCAAAATTTCATTCGAAACGCTAAAAGTACTTGGAAGAAAATTATAATAAATCGAAAAAAATATTAAGACTAACACCCTGGAGCTACGAAACAAAGCAGAATCGGACCTATGTTGATATGAAAAATAAATCTTATTTTTACGTGAGAAATCTCCCCACGAAAGATGGTACATGTTTTTTGGAACACCCTGTATATTTTTATAACAATTTTAATAACTACTAACAGTTATTGACGACGTAAAATAAAACAACTAATTACTGTATCTACCCTACATTATGTTTTTACACGTTTTGAATAAAATTAGAACGGCACTGGTTGGTTCGGGGGCTCAAGGTCCCCCTTTGAGTTCAGTCAAGTAATACGATATTATTATTTTGTCAAACGGCTCTGGGGTATGTACCTAACCCCCCCCCCTTTCCCGAACCCAGGATCCGCCCCTGCGCTCGACCTAAGTTTTTTGATCTGCTCCTCCTTAATATTTTTATTCACAGTTCTAACGTGTTAAAACTTTTATGGTTGATGATATTGTACTTTTAAATGCATAACGTATCGTTTTACAAGCGTAACAATATCCCCTCCCAATTATAAAGCGAAGAGAGAAAATTCCTAAATATGTAAATAGCATTAAACAACGAGTGTACTGTGTAGTAGTTTCGGACTCGACCGCAACGCCGAAGCTTGCAAATATTTCTCTAAACCGCCGACCAGCGCATTACCTTGGGGATCAACTTCTCTGGCTATCTGGAGTGCATCAGAATTGGCCAAATCGGAATTTGCCGGCGTAACGGCTAATATTAAACAGGATTCCTTGCTTATGTATTCCAGAATCATTTTCCTTATTTGGATTTCGATGTCGGGGGGCTGATCGCCAATGGGAATCTTCGTCATGCCTGGCAAGTCGATAAGTGTCAAATTTAGAACTGAAATTGAAAGAAAAATATAGTTATTTTTTATACAAGACGTCGTATATAAAACAATATTCTTTCCATAGCGAGTTACGTTTTAAAAAATATTCAGAAATTATTATTTCAAAGAATGTATTACGAGTAGAAAAAATAATGTGCTGGGTTGGCGTTGGTTTCTATGGAATTTGACAAATATATAAAGCTGTTAGTTGTCAGTTTTGAGTCAATATTTTTTAATTCTCTTTCGTGTCGATTGCTGATTGAATTGGAGCTAGAAATGGCTCAAAACGAAATAAGTAAATTACCAACAGATATTCAGGCTGAGGCGACAAACGCCATATCCAAACTACTTGCATTTAAATACCGAATAACTTATGAAATGGAATACAAAATAAATCAAAAATGGAAGCAATTAAAGAACATGCGAGAAGAAATAAAGTGTTTAACCTATCCTCGTTGTTAAAGTATCATTTAATCTACCCTTGCGGTTAAAGTACTATTTTATTTACTATTTTTGATAGATATAAGGCAATTTTAATAGTTGCTATGAAAAAAATGTAATATATTTTTGGTATACAGGGTGCTACAAATTCGAGTTACGAGTATTGGTATCTTGGCAACCGTAATAGATACGAACATGGTTAAATTGGGGCAAAGTTGCGCTTTGGGTTGTTCACCAAGATGACATCAAAAAAATTTCAAGGATTGCTGAGTTTTTTGAAAAAAAAATTCGAAAATGAATTTTAAATTTTCCTATCGTTACTTTTAGAAAATCAAATTATTACAATTATTAAAAAAAAACAAATTGCACATTCCCGTAGCCACTTTATTAAGGCTATCTGATAGTATTTTTAAATTTTCAAATTAGCTGATAATTTGTGAGAGTCCAACTTAATTTCTTTAAATACGGACCTGTATTTTTTATTACATGTTTTGAAAGAACTCAATCTCCTGAGTACAATGAGGTGCCACACTTAATACATATATTTATTTTTGTTTTGGACATTTGAACACAATTTATTTAAACTAATTTCAAATCCGGCTGTTTTTTTGAATGTTTAACCTGTTCATGGTTACAATATTCGTTAGCTTTAAAACCTAACAATGACGTGGCGTAAAACATGACATACGGAAAATTAAATGCTCAATAAAATAATAAAAATAATATAAAATAAATTATATAAATATAAAATAATACAATCAAATCGTTTCCCCGGAAGATGAATTGGAAATGGTAGGTAGATCTTCTGAAGATATCAAAATATTCACTTTTTTATTTTTAATTTTTATAAATTATACTTCCTAACACTTTTAGAAGAATTATTATATAAACTTTTTAGTATTCTCGCTATTTAAACCCATGTATTTGTATATATACCGATTGTTTACGATATTTTCCGATGGTGGCAGCACCGGCGGAGAATGCACTAAGCCTATTGACTACAATATACAAAGTGGCACGATATATTTTGTCAGAATTTAAAATCAAAACTTAATGTTAATTTTATATTATTATTACACAAAGTGAGTCTTACTTGGTCTATAAATAATTGTATATGTCCAAAATTCGATATGCATCAAAAAAATAAATTATTGTTTTAAAAGAGATCATTTTTTATTTTTTATTTATTTTTTCACTTCCATAAGTCTTCTTCTTCGCAAGTAAAGATTAAGTCCTGTGTTTTTTTCAAGGGTTCCCTAGGAACAGATAGCATGATGAAGAACAGCTTTCATACTATCTTATAGGTGGTCGTCCAGACGGATGCGGTAGATTGTTTCTCAGCAATTTTTGCTAACCAGTCATTTGGCATTCTGTCCACATGGACTCTCTAGTCCCTTCCCTTGTTTCTTACCCATCTTTCTACATCCTATATTTTAAATGTTTCTCTTATTTCTTTACTTCTTTTCCGATCCTATAGTCTGGTTCACATGTACCATTTTTAGTAAAATTTTTCAGTCAAATTCTCCGAAAATTACGAATGTGGTGTCTTTCGATTCATATTGTCACCTAGAAAGTTTTAGGAAAAGTCCGAAAAGGCGGTGAAAAAAATTACTAAAGTTATTTACAATTAAGTGAAAAAAAGTGGGGGTGAAAAAAAAGTAATATAAATATTTGAGCTACAGTTCCGGGAGCTGGATCTTTTTTTAGAAAATTTCTTCTTCGTTTTGATTGTTTTTTCAAATTTCGAAAATCTTCAAATCTTCAATCATGAAGATCGCTGTCATTTTATACGTAAAATTATATGGAAAATGTCATCGATCGTCATTTCCAAGCCAACTGGACGCCATTTTTTTCGATCATACCGTATCTCCCCTAAATGTTTCAGTGACATCACTTATTCTACACTCTGATTACAGATCGCGAGCTTGCATATCTTTTAGGCTCTTTAGATACTGTAAGGGATTTTTTTTACGGATATTTGCATTAGCAACTTATATAGAAGCTTTTGTAAGCTATCTTCGTCTTCAGATATGATTACTGCACCGTGAGCATAGCATATTATTTTTCTTTTTTATCTCCCAGTTGATATCCTCTCCCAGCTTGCTTTACTTCATTTATGATTTCTTTCATTATGATGTTAAACTGGGCTTCAGCAGGACTGGGCTTAAACTAACTCCTTTTCTGATTCCAGTTGTCACAGGTGTTTTTCTGCCTTAGTTTATTGGCCGCTTTTACATAGGTACCTATGTATAGTTCTCGGTATTTAGCTCTTCGATTACTTTATTATTTTCGAGTGAATTCTCCTTTTTTACGGTAGGGTTATGACATCAGTTAATTGGACTCTATTAAATGCCTGGATAAGATCAATGAGGCACATAAAAGCTGTCTTATATATTAAAACCTATGGCTTGTCGGTTATTTGGCGAATGATAAATATGGCATCTATTGCAAACCTGTTATTTCTAAATCCTTGCTGTTCTTCACAATTTCTGGTTGACATTACACTTCTTCTGCTAAAATTTTAGTAAACAGTTTTTGTACAGCACTCGCCAAGCTGATACCTCGACAATTTCGTGGATCTGGTTTTGCTCCTTTTTAAAAAATTGGTATTGAGATGCTTTTTTTAATTGGTATATTCTTGTCTGTAAGTATATTGTTAAAGAGAATGTGTAATTCAGCTATAGACCTACGGCGGAGAAGCAAATAAGTCACGTCATCGGGTACAAAAGGTTCGAGTTTTTTGGATGAAAGTACTTTATATGTATATCCTAAAACCGACCGTCTGCCGGGACCCAGCGGTCAACTTCACAAATGACAACTTGTCAAAAAGGCCAAAATCTGATTTTAGTCACGTTATTAGTACATGTATCAAAATTGTACAGTGTGTAAGGTAAGATAGATATATATCTATTTTGGCCGGCAGACGCCGATATTCGGTCGCGTATGCCGAGCAGACGCCCGCCGCGACGCCTAAAATTTGACGTAAGTCACGTCATGTGGTACAAAGGCAAATTTGGGCTTAAATAAAAGGTATTTATGTATAGAATACGAAAATATTTTTTAAAATTCTGCAGACGGTCAACAACAAACTGCAGACGCTTTAGAAAATTTATAATTTGGTATTATATTAACATGATACAATGATACAATTTTTGATACAATTTTTTTTTGACAAACTGAGTAATTCTGGCGAGGTTACAAGGATAAAGAACACTTAAGGTTTGTTCTCACAATTGTAAGAAACATATTTCCAACAGATAATCATGCGCAATAGGGTAAAACGCGTTCGCACAGAAATGTTTGATTGGTTTCCAACCAACAGTACGCTGTTCGCACAGAAAATTCTGATTGTTAGCTGACAGTCAGACCTGTTCGCGGATCTTTTGCAAGTAAAGTATCCGGCGCATGCGTATTGCGACCCGACGTCATTAATTGGTAAACTTAACCTACAAAACGTGTGTTGTTTTTGTTTAGTGTTTTATTCTTCAAAAAGTAAAGAAAAGAAATGAGCGATTTAAAATCTTCCGAAGAATCTGAGGCGTCCGAATTTTCGGATACGGACACAGACCTAGAAGAGCTGATGGAGGAACGGGTCAGGCCCAAGAATCAGAATTACAAAACATTAAAACATTAAAAAGAACAAAACCAAAAACATTAAAACATTAAAAAGAACAAAACCAAAAACATTAAAAGATGTCTTTTGCTAATTCCCTGTTCGTTTTCTTCTTTATTCGGTATTACGTAGGAGTTAAAATTAGTGGTATTATTAGATCAAAAAAGAAGAGTAGGGGATTCGCTGTTCACACAGACAGTTTGAAACATGTTTGAAATCGACAAGAAACTGCATTATTTGAGACCTGCGCATTAACACCGGTTTGGAAGAAGTCACAAACATGTTGGGAACACGCTGTGAGAACAAACCTTTAATAACCACAAAATGACACCATAATCATCAAAAAAACATACCTACAATAAAACAGGTACAAACCTTTGTAACATATAGAAGCTCAGGTAGCTATTAAGTAGTGAATAATTTTTGTCATAAAATATAAATTCAAACTATATGGCATAGGTACATCTCTAAACCTAATCGAAATACCTAAATCTAATCAAATAACACGTAAAATAAAAAATATAACCTAAAGATATAAACAGGTACCAAGTTGAACAACCAAATAGAAACATTTAGCATTTAAAAATATATGGCATCGGTACATTCCTAAACCTAATTGAAACACCTAAATCTAATAAAAAAAACACTTAAGGTTAAAAATTAAACGTAAAAATATAAACAGGTACCAAGTTGAACAACCAAATAGGAACTTTTAGCAATTAAAAATAAAAAACACACAAAATACGTAAACTATAATTATTGAGAATCTACTTATTTAAGAGTCTATAGGGGTGCTTCAAACTATAACGATACAAATCATGTATTAAAAAGTATAAAAATAATTTCTATTGCTCATTGCTCATCATCAGAAGAATCATGGTATATATCTTCCTTTTCATCGTCGATATTCTGGACAGTATCTGGCAAAATTATATCATTTAGTAAAGCAGGGACTTTAGG